TAATGACAGAACTGAAAGAAGACATAACATGATAGAAAATAGTATTATCAAGGTAAAAAAGAACATCAATCACAGAATAGAGCATCTGAAAAATAAAATATTAAACCAGCCCCAGCTCTTTCTGCATCATCTCAAGTTTTCCAACCGAAAACACAATCTGTTACCAGATAAGGAATAACAGAACATATTTGGTCTACACATATTATCACTACTGCTGTACCACGTGTTACTGAAGGACTTTCCTGAACTACTCCAGCCATGACACTACCAAAGCAAGTTCCCAATTTCATCTGGCCAATTCAACATTGGCCAATAGGCTATGACAGAAAGATACCATGGGAGTCAAACCAGGTTCAATTCAAAATCATTTCAACAGTGAATGAGTGACATAGTGAACAACAAGCCATCCTTCTTTCTGTCCATCTAAAAGGACCAGGTTTAATAACATTAAGTAATCTTCCAGCTGAAAGCCATAACAACTATCAAGCATAGGCAGCAGCTTTATCCAATGGGGTTGGAGTGTTACATTAGGAAGAAGTATCCAGAACAAAGTTCCAAAATGGGGTACAAAGGGGAAAAGATACCTCAGCTGAACTTGCAGAAAATTTGAAACTATCTTACAATGCTCCTTGTGAAATAACGGATATGTTAGCACAAGACTAGTTTATAGATGTCATAACAGAGAAAGATCTGAGAATTGGACATAAGCAAAGTAAGTGTACATCTTTAAAGGAAGCTCTGCAGTTGGCAATGGGAATAGAATCTATTAAGGTCACAAATACGCTACTAATAGCACCATCTAGAAGTTATGAGAATATTAAATCCATTAGTATTGAAACATCAACTCCCTCTAACAATTGTCTAGAGAACTGAAAGAATTAATCAGATGGCTAGTTAAACAGGACAGAGAAAATAAACCAAAAAATAATAGATGCTTCAATTGTAACTTGAAAGGATATATTGCCAGGAACTGCAGGCAAAGGCCTCTATGGAATAAGAGCTCTTAAGGGGTATCAGAAAGAATTAACTATTATAAGTGTGAGAAACCTGGCCATTACAGGAATGAATGTTGTTATCAAGACAAGGAGACAGAGTCCATTTAGATTAAAGGAACAATACAGAGCTAATGATACAACAAGAAAATAGGAATTAGTTGAATTAGTATGATGAAGCTCAACTGGAAATACTCCATCTACCACGAAAAAGAAAATAAGTTCATTATTTGAGGAAAATTATTCTAGTGTTCATTGATGGACAACTTTGAAATATGTTGATTGACATTGGTTCCAAATCTACAATTGTTTGTCCTCATTTGTTAATGAGAAATTGCTTCCAGAGATGAAGGAAAAAGAGGAATTGATGCAAACAACAGGTGGAGATAAAGTTCCTGCAAAAGTAAAGTTGGAAGTTACTTTCACTATAGTGAAGTTAAAAGAAAGATACCTAATACTGTGCACTATGTGGCAATTACTACACTGGAGGTGGAATGTCCAGTGGACACAAAGCTACTGCAAAACAAAAGTTAGAAGTTACTCTTACTATAGAAAGCTTCTCTGTGCCACATGGGGTGTGGGTACTTGACATCAGGGAAGATTGCACTTGTGAACTAACATCATGTGAAGACATGGATATGAGGTCAGGCTAGTGTACTGCATGGTAATTACTACACAGAGGTGGACTGCCCAGTGGAAACAAGAATGGTGGTCATTGTATTACTAAGAGATGAGATACTTATATGAGAAGTTAAAAGAAATGCTTCATCTAGTGACTGGGGTATTGTGAAACCAAATATTCTAGCATGTCATGAGGAATTTCAGCTTGGAAGAGTTCTCCTGGAAGTTTAAAATAAAAATATCATGCATCCTTTTACCCAGGAAAAACTCAAATTTTCTTTTGATAAAGCAAAAGGTAGCTGTGCTGTAAGTACTGATAAAACTAGATTCCATTGAGATGACATAGTATGACTGAACAGTTCTTTACATGAGATAGTTCAAACTCCAAAGTTAAGTAGGTGTTCAGAGAAGAGGAAATGCAAGCCAAAGGGCATCCATCATGATCATCTTTGGAAGTACACCAGTGAGAGAATGGCTAACTGGGTCACCCGAAAGAAAAACTTGTCAGTGGAAACTTAAACAGCTGAGGAGCTCATATTTCCTGTCAAGACCATTACTTCGAGAGGATAATATAGTGTTACGTCTCCGTTTATTAATTGATTTTCCGTAACTTCGTTCCGATGAAACTTAAGCGACACAAGTCTTTACTCAATAAA